TTTTTTCATTTAATACATTTATAATTAATCAGTAAACATTACTAATTCCAGTTCCAGTTTAGTATGGCTGATTGTTTTCAAATTCTTGCAAATCTTAAATCCTCTGATGCACAGACCCTTCTAAATTAAATAAATTTTAAAGAATTTAAAAACAATGTACATAAAAGTAGCTGATTATATAAATTTGTTGCTATGCTTGGAAAAATTACAACCATCAGTATATTTGTTTTGTGCACTCAGTGGAGACTAGAATGTCCATCTAAAACTAACTGGAGTATGTTCTTTAATGATATTATAGATTCAGTTTAGTAATTCAGGTTATTGGGGGATCCTGAGCCTGGGACCACTACTAAGATAATTCTGTCCAAGCTTTATTTTGTTTTGTTTTATTTTTTGTACCGGAGATCGAACTCGGGACCTTGCGCTTCCAAAGCAGGTAGCAGAACCACTGAGCTAAATCCCCAGCCTGTCCAAGATTTATTTATCTCATCATTAGGTGCTGCCTCCTCTGTCAGTAGTAGAGACCCCCGCATTCCTCCTCACCTTTTAATTAAAGCCATTTCTAAGCTTTATGTCGTGGATGTCTATTAAATTTTATCATTTCTGGTTTTTTCTTTTTCTCTGTCATAACTTCTTTTTGTTTTTTGGGGTTTTTTTTTTTTTTTTTTGGTGCTGGGGATCGAACTTGGGTCCTTGCGCTTGCGAGGCAGGTGGGGGAACCACTGAGCTAAATCCCCGGCCCTCTGTTGTAACTTCTTGTAGTTTTGTTTCAGTGAATAGAAGCTCCTTTTACTCTAATGGGAATCTTCTTCCTCCTTTTGGTGTCATTTTTAATAAACTAGCATTTCTGATTCATATTATATTGATAAAATATATATGACCAAAATAGCAAAATAAGCACTGATGTATTAACAGAGTTGATTATGTGATGAGTTACTGTATGCTATTATAATAATCCTTTTGTTTTTGCAACTCAATACAAAATCTGTATTAACATTATTAACATTCAGTTAAGCTCTGTTGATTGTGACATGTTAATAAGAACAGTACTGCATATTCAGCATTAACTATGTTCTAGGCATTGTTCTAACAATTGGCTGACCTAAATTAATATGTATAATCTATACTACCAAAATTGAGTCTACGGCTTGGATTGTTTCATTTAAAAAAATTTTTATTAGTATATGTTTAGTACATAATGATTGTATCTTGGGCAGTTGGTATGTGTGTACATAACACCTCTTAATTCTTTTTGTCATCCCCTTTATTTCTTGGTTCTTTGCCCTTTTTCAGAAGCTCTATCTCCCTGATTCCTATTATCTTTTATTTTACTCTTTAATTTATTTATAATTTGGATTTCTCATAAAAGAGAAATCATACAATATTTAAGCTTATGTGTCTGATTTATTTCACTTTACATTATGGTCTCAAAGTGCATCCATTTTTCTACATTGGATCAAGTTTATCCTTTATGGCAGAGTAGTACTCCATTGTGTATAAATACCACATTTTCTTTATGCATTCTTTTTTGGGCATATAGGCTACTTCCAAGATTAAGCTATTGTAAATTGTGTTGCTATAAACATGAGTATGCATGTATCACTGTAAGATGTTGTCTTTAACTCTTTTGGGAAGAAACTTTGAAGGAGAATAGCTGGATTGAATGGAATTTCTATTTTTAGGGTTTTTTTGTTTTTTGGTTTTTTTGGTACAAGAGATTGAACTCGGGTCCTTGCGCTTGCGCAGCAGGTGGCAAAACCACTGAGCTAAATCCCCGGCCCTATTTTTAGTTTTTGGAGGACTCTCCATACTGATTTCCAAAGCGGCTTATACTGGTTTACATTCCCATTAGCAATATAGGTTTCTTTTTTCCCTCGCAGCTTTGGTTATCATTTCATTTTGTGATGATAGCTATTCTTTCTGGAATAAGAAGGAATCTCAGTGTTGCTTTAATTTGCATTTTTCTAACGACCAGAGGTGCTGAGCATTTTTACAGTGTGGCATTTATTGGTCATTTGTACATACTTATTCTGAGAAATATCTGTTCACCATACTTGGCTTTTTAAATTTTTGATGAAGTCACGTTTATCAGTATTTTCTTTTATGGGTCAGGACTTTGGTGTTTAGTTATAGAATAGTTTTGAATGAAGTCCTAAAGTGACCTTGCCTTTTTATCTTTTCCATATAAAATAAACATTAAAGCATAAGATTCTGGATTTCATGATTTTGGACTTTTTTTTTTTTTTGGACTTTTTGTTATCCAGGCAAGAGAATTTAGAGAAAATAGATCTAACCCCCCTACCCAAAATAAAATATTAAGTCTACCAAACTTGGATAATATTGTTAAAACATGCACAACAGTGTTCTAAAATGGTAGTGATCTAAAGCTATACTATATGTTTTAAGTTACCAATTACTGTGTGCCAGGATAGTGATGTGCATTTTTTAATTTCAAAAATTCTACAATGTAGATATTATCCCCATTCATACATATCCATGTTTGTTTATATGTATATAACTATTTTTCATGTGAGGAAACTAAAGCTCTTAGAAGTTAGGTCCTTGTGTCCATTGTTCCCTAATAAATGACATCTAGGACTCAAAGCCAGTTTTTTCTGTCTTCAAAGCCTGTACTGTTTAACCAATGCCTTGCTTTTTTGGTTGTTGTTGCAATGCATATCTTATGTTTCACGTAAGACCCAAACTTGATCTTAGTTCATGATATGCCTGACCCTCATATCATATATATATTTTTAAATTTTCATCTTATTAGAGTAAGTTAGCATGTCTTATCAACATTAAGCTAAAGCTATATTTGGAATAGGCTTTTTCTTTGTGTTTTATCCTGTGATAAATGCAAATAGCACTTTACTTTGTGGAGAGTTTTCTTAGTTACTATTCTGCTGAATTTAGTAGTGTGTTCATAATATCCGAGCTTTCTCCCTACTTAGCAAATACTTCATTTTAAAAGACTGTTGAGGAGGATTTAACTCAGTGGTACCATCGCCTGCCTCCCAAGTGCAAGGCCCCAAGTTCAATTCCCAGTACAAAAAAAGACTGTTAAAGGTTATAGTTTTGGGTCAGGTTTGGGAAACAGTGTAAGAAGGAGAGGTACAGAGAAATAACAGTCCATTTTTCCAGTAATGGAATTTAGAGGACAATTTTTATTTTTAAATATGTAAGACTATTTGGCTTTTCCTGTTTTAGCATATTTCTGTGTAATTTTATTATAGCCAATCCCCTCACAGTTCTGTAACTTTATTAGAGCATGGATGAAATCTTCAAGTTTTTAGACACTTCTTTGGCTTTAGTCTTTTCAAGTCAGACTTTAAGAAGTACATTTTGAGTTTTTCTCCATGTATTTCTATGCCTCCTTTCCCACTTTCCCAGTCCCAGCTGTCATCACATAGGCTTACTGTGTTCAGGCAGCCTCCTCATACCAGTCATCCCGATTTCACCTCTTCACCGAGTCATCGCATACAGCACTGCTTTCCATCAGCCCTCAGAAAAACCTTCTTTCATCACGTCACTTCCTTTGCTAAAAGTCTCAAAAGCCTCTTCATGGCCTGGAAGATAGAAAGCCCTAAGTCGGTGGTGGCTATTTTAAGTTGTTACTACAGTCCCCTATTCATTTCTTTTTATTGTAACCCCCCCTAACCCTTATTGTCTTTCATAATTAATCATGAAAATATGCTTGGACACATTTTTCTATGGGTTTCTTTAACTGAAGGGTATCAATAATACTTTCCCCACCAAATCCCTAAAGAGTTCGGTTAATGAAATGAGCTGAATTATATTCAGTGCATATTATCAAGATTTCAATTATTTTCTATAGTTTATTTTCATATTTGCACCAGATATTTATATTATTTGAATACCGTGCTTAATATTTATTGTATATCCATTGAATGCATGGTGTACATCTAGGAAAAATTGTGCACATGCTCACCGGTTTGTTTTTTCTTATATTTCATTTTATGTTAACACTTAGAAGTTGATTTAAAAAAAAAAAAGCTGTGACAGTTTTGTCAGATACTGAGGTATATCTGATTAGAAAATAGAACAACACAAGTATTTTCCCTCCACTTGCACATACTTTTTCTTTAATTGCTAAGTGTTTGAAATCTTATTTGTATATATTAAGCATTACTTTGTTTTTGTAAGTTTTTACTCCAGGAAGCTTAAAATTAAAACTTAACATCTTAAAATGAAACAATGGGTAAGAGGGAAGGTGGGAGATGTTTTTATTTTTTAATATTTACTTATTTATTTTGAACCTGGCCCACTCCACATAGTGCTTAAGAGAAATGGAATGTTATAAATTAACAGTTAAAGGAAAGTAAATGGAAGATCAGAGTTCATAAACAGTAGTACTCTTCATAGACCATGGCGCATTCCATAACCTTTGTATTCTGGGTCATGATGAGGCACTTAAGGAAAATGAAACCATTTTAAACATGGATAAAACAGTGGAATTATTAACAGCAAATTATATAATGATTGCCTTTACAGTGGAACTTTAAAAATTTTTCTTGTCTAGTGCAGTATTCAGCCAGATTTATTTTTGTGCAGAATTTGGTTATATTCAGATTCTTTTAGAGGTATTGACAGAAACTACTTTTGTCTGTATCTTTCTATGTATATATTAATGCCTGACTGTTTTGAGGAGGCCTGACTAGTTGTTTTTAGAATGTTCTGCATTCTAGATTTGCTTGTTTCTTTTTCTTTTTTTTTTTAAGAGTAGGAAAAATTTATTGAGAGAAAGAAAGCTTCTAAGAGACACAGAAGGGGGTCCTTAATTGTTTCTTGAAGATTAGAGTTATATGAATTTATCATGTTAAACATTTTTCTCTGAGATACTGTATCTTTTATGTTATGTACTTCTGATTACACCATATCAGAAGATCCCCTGATGTCAACATAAAATTTATGATCTATTTGCCTGTAAAAAGCAGCAACAAAGATTTAATTGATTGGATTATTTTTTCATGTTTCAATAGACAACGACTGAACGGCCCTTCATTCAGAAGCTATTTCGTCCTGTGGCTGCAGATGGACAGCTGCATACACTAGGAGATCTCCTCAGAGAAGTTTGTCCTTCTGCAATTGCTCCTGAAGGTAATGCATTCAGCAACATCAAACCATTTCTTTCATTCTCTTTCCTACACCCTATATTACTGAAATAAGCATTTTTTTATTTGTATAGATCAGTTATTTTAGAAAAATATTTTCATTATTTTGTAGGGGAAAATCTTTTGTAGCAGAAGCAGTAGTAACAAATTAAGATCTTGATTTTCTTTGGCAAAATAAAATACATGTTTTTAAATTTCCATCTTAACACATCTCTGCTCTGGGTCTTTAATTTATAGATACAGATTTTAGAATATTGTATAAACAATGAGATATCTTGGAGATTTGCTTAAACATCAAATTTCTTTATATTTTAAAATCATGTATGTAGCCTGAAGGTAATTTTAAACAGTATTTTTAGTGTGCCTGTATTTTGACTGTGAGCTGTCACATGCAGTAAGGTGTGGAATTTTCCACTAGTGCCATCATATTGGTACTCAGAATATTTTGGACCATTTTTGATTTTTGTATTTTTACATTGCATTGCTTAAATATATTTAATGTATAATGCTTTATTGCTTTTTCACCTAATCATTACCCAGTTACTAAATGTAATCCCAGCCTTGTTGATTACTGTGCTGATTATTGGTTGATTTTTAAGAAATTTTCAGTTGCACATTATTCATTAATATGACTTGTACTCATTACATAGACTTGTATTTACAGAGACTTGCACTCATTACATACTAAAAAATTTTTGAACTTGCTACTTTAAATCCTAGGTGGAAAGAGCTGTAAGGTATTAGTAAATATGAAAGTAATACTTAAATAATGTTGCTTTTTTACGTACCTTGCCTTTAGGATCAAAGATGTATCTGAGTAATGTCGTTTTTCTTAGGAATATATTCTAAGTTAGAAGATTGCAATATTACTTAAATGATGGTTAACTGTACCACACAGTTCAAGAATCTGATGAAGTAGCCTGGTACAGTGGCATGTCCCTGTAATCTCAGCTACTGTAGAGGCTGAGACAGGAAGATCCCAGGTTTGAGGCCAGCCTGGGCAACTTAGTGAAACTGTCTCAAAATAAGGACTGGGGATGTAGCTCAATGATAGAGCGCCCCTCGATTCAATCCCCAATACTGAGAAAGAAAAGAATCTAAAGAAGTAAATTCTAGTATTCTAATTCCTAAGAAGTAGAATTAGAAACAATAGAATTAGGGATTGGTACTCTAGCCCAAATGACTAAACAAAAAATATGAAGTTTGGGATGTGTGTCATTCTGTCTGTAGGCATGATAATTTTCCTTAGTCAAGTATGCTCGCATATACTGGCATTCCTGAGTATATTTGGCAGTTCTAAAATGGATAAGGACTCAGAGGGAAGGAGAAAAGAAGAGCATCTAAAATACCATGAGAACCCATATATAAGGGATTAAGCAGGCCATTGAACCACTACCCAAAATTATGAAATATAATAGAATTTGTTTTAAAGATTTTAAACATTTTTCTAAAGACCCCGCCCCTTGCCTTTAAAAAAGATTTTTAAATTTTGAAACAAGATCTTATAAACTGCTCGAGCTGGGCTTGAACTTGGAATCCTCCTGCCTCTGCCTTCATGAGTGCTGGGATTACAGGTGTGTGCCACCACACAGCTCTAAAGTCTTAATGTAGCATTTATCTTAACTAAACTTTAAACTGTGTAATCCAGGTTTCTGATGATCTTTTATACACAGCCTTGTATCTGTAGTGCTGGAGCAAATGATTGCTAAACATTCCAGTTATGGAATGCTTTCTTTGTATCATTGCTATCCCAAATCATATATATGATAAATCGTGGCATAATTAACATTACACTGGTTATCATACTATCTTAGATTCCTAATCTATCTTTACTGCTAATTTTCATTTTCAGTGTTCCATTTAAATAATTTTTATAATTCAATGATTTGTAGTAAATTTATAGAGTTGTGCAGCTATCACCATAATCTAGTTTTAGAACATTTCTGTCACCTTAAAATGTTCATTGTACTTATTTACAGCTAATCTCTGCTTTGACACCAGCCACAAGCATAGTTTCTGTTTCTATAAGTTGCCTTTTTTGGATATTTCATATAAATGGAATCATACACCATGCACCATGTAGCCTTTTTCCGCTAACATAATGTTTTTTAGGTTCATCCATATTGCAGGGAGCAGCAGTTTGTTCCTTTTTATTGGTGAAAATATTCCATTGGGTGGATATATGACATTTTATTCATTTAATTATTGATGAGCATTTGAATTGTTTTCTGGCTTTTCACTTTTAATGGATAGTGCTGCTATGGACCTTCATATATGGGTCTTCATGTGAACATATGATTTCACTTTTCTTGTGTAGATTCCTGGGAGTAGAATGACTGGGACATATGATAAGTTTATGTTTAATTTTTAAAGAAATTGCTAAACTTTCCAGTGGTTGGATCATTTTACAGCCCCACCAGCAATGCATGAAGGTTCTAGTTTCTTCACATCTTCACCAACACATATTGCTTATGTCTTTCATTATAGCCATCCTAATGGTTGTGTAGTAGTGTCTCGTGGCAGTTATAATTTGTGTTTCCATAATGACTAATTGTCATCAATGCATTTTCACACACTTAATTATAATTTGTGGATATCATTGAAATATCTGTTCAAATCCCTTTCTCGTTTTTTAATGAATTATTTGTGTTATTACTGAATTTTGTAGTTATTTACACACATTGGATTAAAAAGTCTTTATCAGCTCCATGATTTATAGATGTTTCTTCCAAGTATATGACTTTTCATTTTCCTTTAAAGAGTAAAAGTATTTAATTTTGGTGAATTCTTATTTATCAAGTTTTTAATGGATTGTAATTATTTTTATTATAATAGATACTTCCAAAATAAAAATATATATGAAGGAATTAATTTAAAAATCTCATGCCCTTTTATTCACCAGACTCTAAACCAATTCTCCTCTATAGAGATAATCAGCGTTGCAGTTTTCCTGTATATTTTTATTTTTGAACTCAGGTTACCGAAATGTTGGGAAACTTCATTGATTCAGTAACACTCTTATGGTTCTAGTTCGTTTTCTCCATATTGCCAGAGAATTTGTTTTTTGTCTGTCTAATGTTTGTTTTGCTATATTCTGAGGATTTTGGAATATAAGCTTGTTCTAGATTTCAAGTGTCATTAAGACATTAATAATGGCTTATTTCTGATTCATGTGAGACCTGCCATTCTCATACCTGCCCACAACAGTATGAGCTTTCAGTTACTCATTTCTCTGTCCTATATTTCTCTTTGTTTTTAAATTTTAAAAAACATTGGAGAAAATGCTTTTATCAGTTAAGAGTAATTGAAGTTTAAGCTGAAGTTTAACCAAATACTATTTTATTGTGTTTTTCCTAGTTTTGAAAAAAATAATTACTGTCAAAGTAGGTCAAACAAACAAAATTTGTTTAAGATCCTTGGTTATTGAGTGAGAATATCACAATGAAATCCAGAGCTTTGGAAGAAAAATGCTCTGTAATGCTCTGTGCCTTTGCTGGCAGTGCAGTTGTCTGCACACATAGTGACCTGTATTTGCTAATGCAGATGTCATGGCTTCCCTCTTTATACACTTGTTTTATTTGTAAAAGATAAATTTTTCAGTTCTTTTTAATCCAGGAAAGAGGATTTGAATTTTGTCACCTTTCTTACCTACAAATTCATTATTTCATAGTTGCTAGTTTCCAGTTGTTAGGTGTGGTGGAGGAGAGAAAACTTTACTGAAATGGGAAGAAATTAGTTAGGTGTTAATTTTGTATTTGACATCTTTAAAATATGCTCTAACTTAGAATCCTTCTGTTTAGTTCAGTCCCTTAAGTTTCCAAATGATTTATTAAAGTTCTCTTAGCTACTTATTTGGATATCTATGTTTAGAACGCAAGTCTTTACCTTCTGGCTCTTTTGGTTTTTCCACTTTGGTTGCATTTTTTTTTTCTTTTTAGCTTTTTAATTTAGTTTAAAATAACATTTGAAATGCTTACTCTTTTTTTTGGTACTGGGGATCGAACTCAGGACCTTGCACTTGTTAGGCAGGTACGATGTCACTAAGCCAAATCCCTGGCCCTGAAATGCTTACTTTTTTCTAATTCTTCATTCTATGATTTTCGTTTAGTACCTACTTCCCTATGTGCTGTTTTGTCTTATATTATTTCCTGGTGTAATCTTAGGAACCTGAGCTTCTACTACATTCATTTTGTTATGTTAGCATTCTTGTATATAATTCTATCTTCTTTTAAAATGATGGATGTGAACATGAAATAGTCCAACACTGTTTTCTATCAGAATTCATTTTGTGCTCATTTTTGCTAATCGCTCCACCCAGGCCACAACAGTGCCTACAAGATTAACATGACCTTGCACATGAATAGCATGCAAATTTGTGATGGCATTTATTCTTTCAAAGATTCTTTGTTATCTCCTAAATTTCTGGCTTGCCCTTACCTGCACATCCTTTTCTGGAAAATAAACAGTGTGACCTCCCTTTTATTAGTTGAAGAGTGGGGGCTGTAACATGACCACTCAGGAATTTAATCCACACACCTGCATTTTATTATGTCAGATACTGTAGATGACAGATTTCTCTTTCCCCAAACTGTCAGATGCCTGTATTGATTGGAAGACTCAGTGCCTACACTTTTGAGGTGCTTTTGATGATATGTTTCCTACCAGGAGGAGGACATAACTGTAATAACATCTATATTTAATAATTGTCATTTAAAAATCTGTGAAGGGCCGGGGATTTAGCTCAGTGGTTCCGGTGCCTGCCTCACAAGTGCAAGGTCCCGAGTTTGATCCCCATTACCAAAATAAATAAATAAATAAAAATCTGTGGAAAAGCTGGCCATGGTGGCATAGCTTTCTAGTCCCAGCTACTCTGGAGGATAAGACAGGAGGATGGGAAGTTCAAGACCAATTTAGCAATACCCTGTCTGAAAGTAAAAAAAGGCTACAGATGTAGCTCAGTGGTAGAGAACCTCTAGGTTCAATTCC